TTTTTTCAAGTTAACTCATCCAAATAGCTTTAGTTCACTTAAATTTTCACTCCAGTTTTTCAAATATGTTACACAATTTGAATAGAACTGCTTGACATGCCTGATAAAGATATCCCGATAGTTCACACTAAGGTCAAGGTCTTACATATTTTCAAGTTTTGAAAGGAACTCTCTTACTTTAAGCGGTAAAAATAACTTATTTGAGCAATTTTGAAGCTTATTTATAAGTTTGAAATACTACAAAGCGGCTTACGTTGTGCATATTTTGTCACCTTCTACGTCTAAAATCACTTTGTGGAAGAGAAACGCAATGTTATGCACAAACCACATCCATGTTTTACTGATTGGGTTTTGAAAAAACTGTTTTAGAACTGTTGGACAATTATCAATCGACAAAAATATGCTTTCAAGGGTTCGACTATTAGTATAATTGGTTCAATGGCTGACATTAGGCTCAAAAATCTTGTTTTTGAAAACGACAACATTTTTTGTACTCGATATCAACAAAATCGCAAAACTGTTTTTAATTTCTCCACTCGGACTGTAAAAATATAGAAATACTTAAAATTTTGACCGCAATAACCTCGATGTCTATGGGTAAGACGACCGTCGCATTTTGTAAACAGTTATTAAAAATGTGTGCCACACAACCAATTCCAATCACGGGTTTATCACGAGAAGCATTTAATTTGCTGAATAGATTATTCATTCCTTTTTTTCTCATTCCACCAAAATTTGTATTTGTATTATCAGCTGACATTCCGATGAATTTTTGTAGTAAATTATGGTGGTTCAAAACATTGACCACGTAATCTTTTAACTGCTCTGATGTTTCACCAGGTAAGTCATGTAGCTGAAGTAATTTTACTTGGACACCATTTTCTCCATCAAAAAATATTACCATTAAGGGTACAACTTTAATTTCTCTAGGATTCGATAAATCGATTGTGATGCTGACGAAATTTGCTTTTCGAAGGTCAATTTCTAGTTAGGATTGAGCCTCATGAGCTAAAACATTTTTTACAATCGCCTCAGTCTTGGTTCGAGCTGCCGCAAATTTAGGTTCAAACATGCTTACAATTAGTTTTAAACGTGCAGTCTAAGGATCTGAAACTTTGCAAATGCTTAATTTTATGGTAAGCAAAAGTACCTTCCTTAGCCGCAATCAACATATTTTCAGAACTTAAATTTTCTTTTTTAACAAAGGTTTCCAATTTGCTGCTCTTCGCGTTCGCATTAGTAGCCAACATGTGTTTTTTCTGTGACAAATGTTGTTTGATATTACTGCAACCACTGTTAGAAATATCAACACCACTGTTACAAACTTGGCAAAATACAATATGCGGTGAAACATTTGATTTTTGTTTCATAAAAGGATACTCTGCTTGCAACTCGACGTTAAAATGGCATTTTCTTCTAGGCGGTGACATGATGAAATTGTTTATTTCAACACACAGCACAAAATAATATAAAAAACGATGAAAAGTGTCGGTAAAAAGTAATCAACAATGAGCGCATCTATTCGAATCATAATTATATTTTGTTTGGACAAAAAGTAGGACTTAATTTTGTGTAATTAAGAAAAAGAGTACATTTAGGTGTACTTCATAAATTTTAAAGTACAATAGGACAGCGTTTGAAAAGAAAGTACTCTCCTACTAAAAAAAGTACATATGGTCACCCTAGTTATAAGTCATATCATGAGTTATATCGTCCAAAATAAAGAAATAAAATAATTCTACAGTGTTGAATCTCTTCTTCCTTAATTATTTTATATCAACTATTTGCAAAAAAACGAAAATACGAAGATTGGTCATGTTATTTCTAATAAAAAACTCCTCTTCTAAAAAAATTCTCCTATTGTATCCATAAATGTAAAACTAAAGAAATGTTTAATTTATGATTTTCCTGATTCTTCTTCTTCTTAAAATGCCATCTCCTCGGCGGAGGTAGGCAATCATCATAGCTATTCGGACTTTTGAGACGGCTACTCTGAAAAGTTCATTTGATGTACATCCATACCACTCTCAGGTTGCGCAGCCATGACATTCTACGCCCCCCCATTGCTTCTTTTTCCTTGGATCTTTCCCTGCGTAATCAGTTGGAGCAAGGTGTATTTCTCTCCACGTGTAATGTGTCCGAGATATTCTAATTTTCTTGTTTTTATTGTACTTAAAATTTCCATTTCTTTATTCATCCTTCCCAAAACCTCTTTGTTTGTGACGTTTTCTGTCCAAGATATTTTCAGTATTCTTCTGTATACCCACAGCTCGAATGATTCCAGTTTTTTTATTGAAGTCTTATTTGAAATCCAAGATTCGATTCCATAAAATAAAGTCGAAAAAACATAGTACCTCGCCAACCTAACTCTTAGTTCCAGTTTTAAATCCCTGGTACACAGCACTTTTCTCATTTTGTTGAAATTTGCTCTAGCCTTTTCTATTCTTATTTTGATATCCTGATTGTAATCATTTGTGGAGTTAATTATTGATCCCAGATATGCATATTTGTCCACTTATTCGACGTTGGTTCCGTTTATTAGAAGATTCTCTTTTTATTTCTTTGAGTTTTCGATATTCTCATAAATTTCGTCTTCTTGACATTCATTATTAGACCATACTTTTTTCTATTCTCTGCTATTCTGGTCACCGGTCTCTGAAAATCTTCAATGTTTTCGGCTAAGATCACAGTGTCGTTCGCATATCTAATGTTGTTAATGGGAACTTCATTTACCTTTATTCCAGCTCTTTCACCCTCAAGAGCTTTTTTCAGGATCTTTTCGGAGTAGGCATTAAAAAGAATTGCGACAATACGCATCCCTGTCTCACTCCACATCTAATTTCAATTTCTTCTGACAGCTGTTCGTTAACACGTACTTTTGCTCGCTGTTTATAGTATAAATTTGATATTATCCTGAGGTCGTTGTAGTCAATCTTCTTTGATTTCAGGACATTCATTAACATCATCAATTTAATTTAAGAACATTGACGAAATGTTAAGATTTAATTAATAAAATTGTGATCGATATCTACCTTTCATTTGATCAAAGTTAAAATAAAATTGTTCAATAAACTACAAAAATAATTAAAACATTTGAAACTTGGTAATTTGTATATGTCCCAACAACCGATTTCTTTTAATTTTAAAAGTTTTATACTCATCTGGGTTTTAACTCCCTTGTTTCTCTTTTTGGTAATCTCAGTATCTTCTTCTTCTTTTTTAGCCTTCATTTATCCATTGTTGGATATAAGCCTCCTCCAATTGCTTCCACGCTTTCCTATTTTTTTGCAATTCTCATCCACTGCTTTCTAGCTACAGCTGTTATATCGTCTATTCATCTCTTTCTGGCTCTTTCCACGCTTCTTTTTGTTTCTCGAGATCTCCAGAATGTTTATGAGACTATCTATTGGTGTCTTGCCTTCCTATATGTGCTGCCCATTGCCATCTCAATGTCGCTATTTTTCCCATGATGTCGGTTACTTTAGTTCTTCGACGTATTTCGGTGTTAGGAATTTTGTCTCTGAGGCTTATATTTAACATGGCCCTCTCCATGGCCCGTTGAGTTACTCTTAATTATTCTGCCATTTTTCTTGTTATTGGCATAGTTTCCAATTCATAAGGTAGTATACAAGTGTCATAAGTTTTTCGTTTTAAGTGAATTGGGATTTTTCTGTCTTTTACAATAAGTTCAACTTACCAAAAGCAGCCCATGACAATTGTGTCATTCTTTTAATTTCTAGGGTTTGGTTTTCCCTTTCGTTTTTAATTGCATGTAATAGATATATATATATATATATATATATATATATATTATATACATATACATATATATATATATATATATATATATATATATATATATATATATATATATATATATATATATATTGTTCTACCTTTTCTATATCGATATTATCTATCGTGATGTTTTCTAGGCTGTTGCTTAATATCTTTGTTTTGTCGAGATTAATTTTTAATCCTATTTGATTCGATTTGTGATTTAAATCTTGTAGCATTGATTTTAGTTCATGGATATCTGTACTTATTAGTACTATGTCGTCTGTGAAACGCAAATGGTTAAGATATACTCCATCTATTTTTAATCCCTTTTCGGCCCAAATTTTCTAATGCCAAAATAAATAGCTTTGGTGAGATGGTGTCGCCCTGTCTTATACCTTTGCCAAGGTCTATTTTCATAATTTCCAGATCATCATCTATTTTTACGTGAAAAGTAGCATCATCGTATATATTCTTAATGAGGGCAGCATATCTTGAATCTACTCTGGCGCCGTCCAATGCTATTAAGAAAGCCCATTTCTCGATACTGTCGAATGCTTTGTGATAATCGACAAATGCCAGAAATAGTGGTATGTTATACTCTATTGTTTTGTTAATAACTGTCCGTATTGTTTGCAAGTGAATATCTCAGTATCACTCATTTTAAATCAAATATGTAGTATTTTTCACAAAAATCGCCGAAATATCAAAGTATTTGTCTATAAACAACAACAAAACAACCTGCTTGTCATTTATTACCAAGCAAAATCGCTGTGTTTATGACACTAATAGCGCCAGTCAAAGATCAGCGGCAAATTTACGAAATAATATTAGTCAATTACTTATATAGTGTCATAAATAGATGATGTATTCTGTTGACTGCGTACCTATCAACAGTACTGAAGACTTATGTTCTTTTATGACTAAACGTTAGATAGAAGTATTGAAAACAAATTTTCATCATAATCTCAATTCACATAAAGTAGTGACTTATATCCTTTCATAATTACGCGATTGATATAAAATATTAATTTTAAATATCAGAAGGCATTGCTAAAATACCGACAAAAACTAAATTTTTCCCACTGTATAAGGCATCATAATCCGCCGATTACAAACACTGACATTACATAACATAATACTTAACCCAATAAAAAGAAACCTATAAAATTTCGTTCCGTAAGTCAATTATCTTCATTCAATAACATCCATCTGAAAATTAAATTTGATTATGGTTTAGCATATAGGTAACTACAAAAGTGAACAAATGTCAAAAAACAATATGCTTCTTAAAATGTCATAATTACACTTGACGTGATATTCCACTAAAAAAATATGGAAAGTTTCTTACGGTGTTATTTGGATTGCTTCAATAAATTACCTCGAAATAGCCTACATGATAGGAGAAAAAGGCAGCATGTAGTTGATTATATTAGTACTTTGATTGAAGGGTGTTCTAAAGGTAAGTAATTCTGTATTATTCAACGATATGAAATATATTTGCCCCCTTTTTTTACTATTTGAATAAACGTGTGCTACTCTAATCATAATATTAGCTCATTTTGTTTATGCTATTCCACTATCCTAACTTATTTCTTCTAACCTATTCCAATTTACTGTTCATCTTTTGGTTTTTTTCTTCTTATCACAAGCAAGACTCTACCTGTTTGACTGACAGCTGGTTGTGAATGTATTTACTAAAGAATACAAATACTTAGGAGCGACGTTTAGAATTAAATGGAGAAATAATCAAAAACTATCAAATAAAATCAAAAAGACTTCTTTTTGGTTGTTTGTACTATAGTGTATTATACATTGTGTATGCTGTATTGTGTATTAAGTAATAGCCTTCTTCTTCTTCTTCATGTGCCATCTCCTCTAAGAAGGTTGGCAAACATCATGGCAATTCACACTTTCGACGCCGCTGCTCTAAAGAGGTCAGCAGAAGTGCAGTTAAACCAAGCTCTCAAATTATTCAACCAGGAGATGCATCTTTTTCTGCGACTCCTTCTACCCTGTACTCTTCCTTGCATTATTAATTGCAACAAGTTATAACGCTCGCCCCTCATAACATGTCCCAGATATTGCAGTTTTCTGACTTTAACTGTATTTAAGACCTCTTTATCTTTTCCCATTCTTCTCAACACCTCGACATTCGTGACTTTATCTACCCAACTTATTCTTAATATCCTTTTGTAGGCCCATAACTCGAAGGCTTCCAATCTATCCGAAACATCTTTCTTTAAAGTCCAAGCCTCCAACCCATAGAATAATACGGAGAACACGTAGCATCTCAGAAGTCTTATCTTTAAAGAAATTGAAGTAATTGCCTTGTAACTAAGTAAATTCAAATTCATTGTGTTTAGAAAGAATTGCATATCTACTGCTACAGTTAGTCATATAAAATAAGTTGGAAATTTACTACACGCAACAGCAAGTGACATAAAGTAGCTACTGCTCCGATCACGGATTGTATAAAATTTGGCGTTATCAAATAAATAGAATGTAAAATATTAGTTTTGCTTTCACGTACTCCTCTATCAATTAGTCACGGTCATACTTTCATGGTATGGTTCAGTAACTTTATGGCTTTGTAGTTGTGTGCATTGTTAGACATCTTATACGTCAATATGCATACCAACCTGGTAAATCTACAGACTCTGCGTTGGATAATCTAAATAGGCTTATCTCAAAGTCAATCGAAGACAAAGAGATATAAGTAGATGAGGCGCACCTGTGGTAATATGCGGATGGATAAGAGCATACCTGGATAATAGGATAGTAATATCCACTCTGGGTAAAGCAACCGTCAAAGCAAAAGTAGGTGGAGACTGTCCACAAGGAGGAGTTCTGTCCCCTCTACTTTGGGCAATTTTGGTCGTTGATCTCCTCAGAACTCTGTCCACAGAAGGCTTTTATTGTCTAAGATATGCTGACGATATAACAATCGTTGTCAGGTGAAGGTTTGCCTAGATGATGTCTGGGAGAATGCAGACAGCCCTAAATATAGTTAACGACTGATGTAAACAATAGAGACCGATAGTCAATGCTCAGAAAATACGAATGGTCAACTTAAAAAAAAACAATACCACAAGGTCTAAAATCAGCGGTGCTAAGAGAAACAGAGATTTCATTTGCCTAAGAAACAAAATACATTGGGGTGCATTTTGATCATAGGTTTACATGGAATACTCACATTCTGAAAACCACACAGAAAGATACTATGTCTCTGGGCAGATGTAGAAGAATATGCGGTAAGAATTGGAGACTTAACCCCAAAATGAACAATGGTTATACACAAAGGTTATTAGACCAATGATAACCTATTGCTCGGTGATGTGGTGGACAAAGACGTAACAAGTGGGAGCAAAAAGGCTTTTAGGTAACACAAAGGCTAGCGTACCTGTGTACTACGAGGGCCATGAAAACATCATCCATCACATCATATCTTTATACAGGACGAAGCCAGATCAGTGAAGCACATATTAATCAATAGTTTATATTCAGCGTTTCTTCAGCATCATATAGCTCTTTAAAATGCTGTTGCCATGTCTCTATAGGTACTACCTTGTTCTGCACGAACTCGTTAACTATTTTTTTCCAGTTCCGAAACATTTTCCATACCTTATTTTGGGCACTATGTAGGTCGAAGCCCATTTTGCTGGTGAATTTAGCCCAATGTTCTCTTTTGATTGATTTTATTCTGGCGTTTACTTCGGTTCTTACTTGGAAATATTCTGCGAGAGCTTCTTCCGATTGTGTGCTTTTATATCTCAGTTAGCATTTGCGTTTTAATTTAGAGAGTTCTTTTACCTCTTGACAAAACCACGGTTTTGTGTGGTTTATCGCCCTCGTGTTAATTTTCCGCTTTCCAGTCTGGTTGATGCATTTCCTGATTTTATTGCCAAGTATCTTCTACTCCCCATTCTGGTTGTAACTTGATCTCTTTTAGTTTGCTGGTAATCCTGTTTTCGTAAAGGAGTTTTGTACTCTCTTTGTTGCTAGCAACTCTATATTGTATTTTTTCGATGAGCATTGAGGGTTTTCTGTTTCGTTGTGGACCTTCTAGTAGCATCTTGCATAAAACAATGTTGTGATCGGTCCTTAGGTTAACAGATGTTAGGGCTCTGACATCAAGTACTTGTGACAGTGTTATCACCCGATTTTTGATTATAAAATCTATCACTGATCGCTGACCTCGATTATTGTTAAAAGTGTATGTTGGTCTTTATGAGGAAAGTATGTGTTGTTGATTCTCATTTCATTTTTAGCGCAAAAGTGCTTCTCCGTTTTCATTAATTATTTCTTTGTTGTACTTTTGTTGTATACCTGGTATGACATCGTTTCCGATCCGTGCATTAAGATCCCCGAATACGATAATTTTGTGTTTAGCATTTATGTTATCTAAGGTGTTTTGTCGTTGCTGATGAAAATTTTCAGTTTCTACTGTGGGCTTAGATATGTCTGGGGCATACAGTCCGTCCCAAACCCTTCTTTCAGTGCGTCATAGTTGTTCGAATTCTCTCTAACGCATTAAGCTAGAAGTGACAGAAAAAAACGTGAGTCTCTGATTATTATACATAGAACTTAGAAAATTAGGTATCGTTCACGGGTATTCGCATATTAAAGCGAATTCTACTTACGAACGTATAATTGGTTGGAGTTTAGAATACGCTAAACAGATATCCAATCAATTATGCATATAAATATAATTTGACACAGATGATCTCGATAATGACAGTGTTAGCACAGGTTAGCATTTTCAGACATTTTAACTACAGTGAAAATTAAATTTTGTATTTATTGTCATAAAAATATTTTAAATATTCCGAGATATACCGAGAATGAAAAAAGACTAATATTAAAATTATTAAATTAGTTTCAATTAGACAAAGAGGCTGGGACATCTTTATTATCAGTTTCTGTCGTTCGCGAATCAGATTGTGAATTCCGGAATGATATTGAGGAAATATCTTAAACTAATACCTTTATGGATATTTATATGTATTAAAACGGTTCTTTTTAGAAACCACGACATTTTCTTAAAATGTAGGATATAATTGATACCAGCCACATATCTAGTGTAATCATTGATTTTCAAGAATCAGATTCTGAATGGGATTATAGATTGTTTGAAATATAATATTCATTTTTGTTATTCATAAAAAAGAAGGTAAACTTACATTCGGTATCTTGTTTTTTAAACTAAACTCCATTAACACGATTTCATCTGGATATCGGAACTGGTAGATTAACTCAAAAATCAACTGCTTCACTATTTAAACTATTTATATTGTTTTTTTTTACCTAAACTTTATAACCTTCTTTCATTTGCACACCAAATCTGGTAGAATAACTCAAAAATCAACTGCTTCACTATTTAAACTATTTCCACTATTTAATGACAACTCTTCACAAAATTAAACTATTGCCTGCCACACAAACTTATCAGAAAATTACTTATCAGAAAATTACTTATCCAAATATGACTGATTTAAATCGATATTATTTTATCACAGGAATGTTTACTTTGATGCCTTGCAATTGTCAGTAATTTTTTTTACCTTGCAGTCAACTCTTAAAAGATTCTAGGAGGAAGCGTTATTTTAAATAAACAAACCTTCCAATTCCCTAGTGTTTGTAATAAATAATAATAAATCCATAAACAAATCTTAGCTAATTAAGCACTTTCCATGGAATGTATAAAATAGAACAGAATAGAATAGAATTATGACAAACTGCTATGCATTAAAAAAAAATAACCTTTTCACGTTTAGCCGATTACGATCCTGCAACTGTCAGATTTAACTAAAATGTCATGCAATAATTCTCGACATTCTTAAAATCCTATATGACGTTAAAATTAGTGACGCACTGAAAAAAGGGTTTGGGACAGACTGTATGTGTTTATCAGGTGTGTTGTGATGTTACGCATTTTATAGAGATTTTTAATAACCTATCGTTGATGTATTCGATATCTTCGATGCTTTGCCTGTATGTATTCCAACTCCTGAATATGCTCTTTCTTGTTTAGCTTTTCCGCTGTATATGAGTGTAAACTCTCCATATTTTGAGGTCCCTTGGGCTTTTTTCTTCGTTTCAGAGATTGCGCAGATGTCAAAATTTAGTTTTTTATTTCTATTATGATTTCCTGATCTCTTTCGTTCCACGACGTAATGTTTCAGCACGCGATTCGTGTGATGGGGTGTTTAGGTTTTCGTTTACCAATTAGTCTTTCCGTTGTCATAGAGCGTGTCGTCATTTGATAGCTGCGTCCGGTATTCGAAGCTATATCTTCAGTTCTGAGAGCCAGCATGGATTCTTTACCTCAGGAAGGTGACTAACCTCAACTTAGGGACTCTACTTCTTTATCCAGGCTTGGGACCTTCAGTGTCATCCGGTGAGCTACTCAGACCCACCCATCAGACAACTCAGGCGGGGTTGCCAAAAGGTCATATCTTTAAGTCTATCTATCTATCTAGATCTCTCAGTTTTTGTAAACAGGTGTTAATACACTGCTTTATCATTCTTCTGTCACTTGTCTCACTCCCATAATTGCATTAAACAAGCCTTTTAACAATCTTCCTCCTTTCCCTTGTAACGGTGCCCACACTTCTCCAGGGGTATCATCTGATCCAACTGCTTTTCCTTTCCTTTTCGTTTTGTTTTTTGGAGTTCTACAGCAACTTTCTCGTTTGCTATTTTGGTGACCATGGCTTTTAATATTCTCGTCAGTTCAAGTCGTGTTCTCTCAAATTCTTAATTGATTAAGCTCTCAAACTATTTTTCTACTTATATTCAATTGTTACAGATAAAAAGTGGACCATTTAAACCATTTAATAATCTTCTTCTTCTTAAGGTGCCATGCATTTCTGCGTACACGTCCACCGTACATCGTCTTGTCAGGTGAGATGTTAAATATTCGAGATTTAATCATTCTGTTTTTAGCAGCATTGCGAAGCATTTCATAGGTGTGGATTCCTGTCCATTGTCGAATATTACGCAGCCATTACATTTTTTTAGCTCTCCTACCCTCTATCTTCCCTTCGAGTATCAGTTGCTGAAAAGTGTATCTTTCTCTTCGTAATATGTGCCCCAAGTATGCAGTCTTCTTACTTTTTACATAACTAAAAAGTTCTCTATCCTGTAAGCCCGCTCTTCTGAGTACTTCCCCATTTATGATCCTGTCCATCCATGATATTCTAAGCATTTGACGCAGGCACCACATTTCAAACACTTCAAGTTTGTTAATGGAACTGGCCTTTAACGTACATGCTTCCATTCCGTACAGGAGAACAGGCCACACGTAACACTTAAGCATCTTGTATCGGAGGTTGAAGTCCAATTTGCGATCAGTCAGAAACTTACGAAGCCTCAAAAAAGCATTTCTGGCTTGTTCAACTCTGCTCTTTATTTCATTATCGGGATCCCAACCCCCGTTCAGCAAACAACCCAAGTATTTGAATTGCCTGACCTGTTCGATTTCTTCTCCAGAGATATATATCTTTGCGTTGGGGTAATTATTTCTACTTATAATCATTGTTTTTGTCTTCTTGATATTTATTTTCAAACCCCGAACTTCACTTGTAAGAGTTAGATCATTTAAAAGGCATTGAAGAACTTCGATGTTATCTGCCACTATGGCTGTATTATCGGCATACCTGATGTTATGAATTAATTAATATTTAATAATAAAACGCATAAATTATTATACATAAAGAAGAAATCCAGCTCTTTTATTTGACAATATACAACAAACCTTCAATTTTTAATCTTGGCATTTATTTTTAAAATTAAGATTGTATGTTTTAGTTGAGAAAGACTCGGACGAAAGTGCAATTGAAGCTATTAAAACCATATTAAAATATCACCAAGAAAATAAAGACGATAATGGTAAGGTGTGCATGATGGGAAGATACCATAATATACTGTATGTTGCTGTAAAATTATGTTTTGACTGGCAAATTAAAGATGCAGCAACGGTAATATACGTCGGGTAATTTTTCATGAATAAAAATGTTAATTATCAATAAAATCTTTATTTATTACAAAACATTTATTGTGGCACTTCTCCATATTACATATTATTTAAATGTCATTATCTATTCCTGCTCTTTGTAGGGCGGCGATCATTGTCTGGTGTTGACAACGGTCAAACGCTTTCGCGTAGTCAGTAAAGCAAATCTAGACGTTGCAACTGATGTTACAACATGCCTGTAGGAGAACTTGTAAATTAAAAAATACTTCTCGTGTACTCATTGAACTACGAAGCTTAAACTGCATTTTTCCAACATTTTAAGAAAAATCTTAACTGCACAACTGATGAAGCTGATAGTCAGAATCTTCTTGCATGTTTTCGCAGATAGCTTGTGTGGCAGTTCTACAAATGTTGGCAACAACTATTCGTCTGAAATGTTACCTGAATCGTATATGGCGTTTGAACAGTTTGAACACGTAACTCTTTTGTACTCACTTTACACATCAGCTTCATAGGTTCAGCTGATATTTCGTTCGGAACTGTAGCTTTACCGTTCTGGGACTGTTCTAAAGCCACTTTCATCTCGCTCTCTACAATTGATAGACAGGTCATTAATTCATTTCTGCAGGGTTGTCCTATAGTCTCGGAATAGTTCTTTCATGTATATTTTTCAGGTGGCCATCTTTTTCTTAACTATCTTCGCAGGTTCCCATCTTTGTCCATGAGTATCCCATGTCTGATTCTGAATACATGATGGTTAAAAGAGAGAGAATGCAAGATATATTTTATAAAATTTATGATGATGTATGTACAAGTTGATGTATTAAGATGTTTTAATATTATAAAAAAAACAATGCTTTTTAAGAATCCTAATAAACGATTGCTTTTTAGGTAACTATGTTACTAGATGAAATATACAAATGCGAGAAAACATTCGAAAGAATCTTAATCGGAGCAATTTTTGGTAACAAAGCCCCCCATTACATTGCTGGTTGGAAGAGTGATTTTGATAGCGAAGAAGAAAACATAAGAGCAGTTGTTTACTTTTTAGATAAGGCCAATCGTGCTCAATTCAATCTATTTTTAGATTTTAATCCTAAGGAAGAAAGTTTTAGATTTATTGATTTACCAATCGAGAGCTGTGGAAAAGCTTCACCGTTAAAAGTAAGTTTTAAAATATATATTCTGCATAAACGTATTGATGGGCTAGTAAATGAAATAACAAATGGAGCAAAGAAGTTTATTGGCGTTTCTGCATGTGTGAAGTATAAATAGTTTAATTTTATATATTAAATTTATTATGATTTAATCATACTTCCGTCGAATGCATGCGAGGCTGAACAGTAAAAGGTATGTTGAGAGTGTACGTGTGCACGGTACACGTCCATTTTTTTTATTAAGTAAACCGCGTCAACCATGAAAGGTTATTGGCGGGAAAGAGTTGTACATAAAATTAGATGTTTGCTTATAACTACCATTTACAATTGATAACTTAAGTCTATTTTTTATATTAGATTGTACAATTTAGTTAGTTTTAGAAACTTAGACACTTTATCATAGTTACTATAGTTCAGAGCACATTTCAGATTACTTGGTAAATCACTTTGAAGTCGTTCCAGGTGATAGAGTGGGTAACTAACAATAATGTGTTCGATTGTCAGAGGAATATCACAAACATAGCACAGTTTTTGTTGTTCTTTCTTCATTAGGTACTGGTGGGTTAACCTGGTATGTCCTATTCTTAAGCGATGTTGTATGACTTGATCTCGTCGATTTTTTGGCATTATCCCTTTTGGTGACAAATTTGGGTTGATGCGTTTTAGTTTGTTGTCGTCAAGTTTTTTCCATCTCTCGAGCCATATTCTCATTGAAAATTCTTTGATGGTGTTTTTAATGTCGGAAAGAGGAATTTCTGGGAGCTCTTTATCTTGTTTATTCGTATAGCAGGCTTCTTTAGCTTCCCGATCAGCTTTTTCATTACCTATTATGCCTACATGAGATGGAATCCAAACAAATTCTATTCTTTTATTCTTACTGTAAAGTTCTTCGAGATCAATTTTAATTTGGCATAGTATTGGGTGGTTTGGGTAAACCCTTAATATTTCTTGTACTGCACTTAAAAAATCTGTGAAAATGACTGCTTCCAATTTGGGCTGGTTTGATATATGTTGTAGGGCTTTAAATATGGCATAAAATTCGGCAGAATATATGGAGTACTCCTTAGGTAGCTGGAACTGATGTTTAATTGTTTCGTCAACGAAAGCTGCGCCTACCGTTTTCATTTCAGAAGTTTTTGACGCATCTGTATATATTTGGTAATATCTTTTGTACTTGTCTTTAATCGCTTGAAACCGTTGTAGAATTATATGTGATGAAGTATCAGATTTAGGATACAGTAGAAGATTTGTATTACATGTGGGGAGTTTTATGGTCCAAGGAGGAGGGTAGTTTATTTCATTGGGAATAACTTTCGGGAAATTGAAACCTGTAATTCTTTTACTAAATGATGCAGAAAGAAAGGGTTTTTGTTCAAAAATTAAAAGAAAATTGTCAGAAAATGTGTGGGAATAAGCAGGGTTATTACAGTTTGCTCCAATTTTAGCTGCATATTGTAGGCTTAGTCTGTGTCTTCTAATTGAAAGTGGTGGTTCATCAGCTTCTACATAAAGACTTTCTACTGGACTGGTTCTGTAGGCTCCAAGTGCAAGCCTTAACGCGGTATTTTGTATGATGTCCAATTGCTTTAGTAAACTATCTTTAGCTGAACTGTAGACTATTGATCCATAATCTAGCTTGCTACGAATCTGTGTTTTATATATATATATATATATATATATTATATATATATATATATATATATATATATATATATATATATATATATATATATTAAGTAATTGTGAGGTATCTGCTCCCCAATTATGATTGGCTAATACTTTTAGAATGTTCATATTTTGCATGCAAGATTTTTTAAGTTGTTGGATGTGGGTTTTCCAAGTGAGTTTTGAATCTAATACCATTCCCAAAAATCGATGTTCTTCTACATACTGCAAATTTTGATTGTAAAGTGTTAATTTTGGCCAAATTGTTTGTTTGTTTCTTGAAAAAACATATTGTTTTTGTTTTGTTTGTAGAAAAAACGAAGACCTGTTCTCTCTGACCACTTTTCTAAAGCTTTGATGGACTCTTGCAGAATACTAACAGCTATTCGGCTATTTTTATTGCTTACATAAAGAACAAGGTCATCTGCATATAAACCAATTTGGACAGGAGTATTAATGTTATCAACAACTTCATTCATTGCAATCAAGAAAAGTGTTACACTAAGTGTTGATCCTTGGGGAGTTCCATTATCTTGGGTATACGAAGTTGACAAATGATTATTAAGTTTAACTCTAAAATTTCTATCATAAACAAAATTTTTGATAAAAGCTAGAAGATTTCCGTCCACACCCCACTGTTTTAATCTTTTTAGGACATCATACTTCCACACAGTATCGTAGGCTTTTACTATATCAAAGAAGACAGCCAGTACTTGGCGATTACTTGCAAATGCTCGTGTATGACCGATTCTAGTTTAATCAAATTGTCCGTTGTACATCTGTTTTTCCTAAATCCGCTTTGTTGTTTGCATATTAAATTATTGGATTCCAGGAAGTATTGCAGACGTTTGTTAAGTATTTTTTCTATTACTTTGCACAAGGTGGATGTTAAAGATATAGGTCGATACGAATTTGGATCCGTCTTTATTTTATTAGGTTTTAAAATAGGAATTACAATTGCTGCTTTCCAAGATTTTGGAAATTGATTCGTATTGAATAAGAGATTATAGATATCTAGAAGGTATTGTTTAGCATTTGCTGGAAGATTTTTAAGGAATGCATAAGATATTTCGTCAGGTCCTGGGCTAGAATTTTGAACGTCCTGAAGTGCTTCATTTAGTTCATTTATACTTAGTGATGAGTTCAGTGGATGATTGTTATTGGTAATTATTATTTTTTGTTCTGAGTTTCTTTTATGTTCAATAAATATAGGGTCATACATAGAGTCATTGCTGTATGTTTGAAACGAAACTGCTAAGGTATTTGTTATTTGTGCTTCATCCGATATTTGATTTCCGTTCATATTAAGAGAGTTTATCTTGTAAGCATATGGAATACCTTTAATTCTGCGGATCTTGTTCCACACTTCAGATGCGGGGGTATCATCGGTAATTGAGGATGCATATTGTTTCACACGTCCATTTAATTTCGTTATATTCTTCTTAAATGGAATATTCTGTTCTTCTCTTTTGGAATTTCTTAATGTCTAATATTAAAAAAAATGTGGATATTCTTATTTTTTAAGTTCGCATTTTTATCGTATTGTTTGAGCAATTCTGTAAATAGTGTAAATATTTAAACCGATTTCCGCTTTCACATCCTGTTCTTTTTTTATTCTTTTGTTTGTATTATCTAGTCTTTGTTGTTTTGGACATTTCCATAGATTTAGCACACTTTGTGATATTGTAGATATAAATTGAAAATTTTCCTGAACAATACCTTCATGGTTTCTTTGATTCTTTTTCCAGTTCTCAAGAGAGGAAATTTTTGGTAGATTAGGGAGAAAAGCCAGAGAGTAGGGATTAGCAATAAATAAGGAAAAACAAAATATATAGTAATGAGCGGAAATCCGAATCACTCGGACAGTTCTTTAAGATTCATAACCCTATTAAACATTATTTCAAAATTGTTTTGTGCAATTTAATTAGTTAAGAGTACCGATTACAAATAGTAACAAATAAACTAACAAATTGTAGAAAGAATGGATAAACCTAGTAAGATTGCTGGGATTCTAGATGTTGAGGTCGAAGAAAATATTTAGAGCCACACAAATATGAATATATAGAGTAGATATCCGATCTACGGTATTTTACGCAAGCGAGACCTGTTTTTTACATCTTTTAAGAAAAGCAAAAAATTCTGCATATAGACACCTGTGACTGACCCAGGTAGTGTTGTGTTCTTAATACCCTAACGAAGTTGTACCAGGACGAGATGGCCGAGGAAGTTAGACCTTTGACACTTCGTCTCGTCACCACTCCGAGACAGTCGGCATCCAACTAAAAACCTTTCCTCTGTCACTCCAGACATCAGGATGGAAGGGCTGCTTATGGCAAAGCATCTCTCCTGATGCCCTGCTATTGCCCGATTCCCATTCTTTCTTTCACACAATAATCGGAGGACTAACTATACTCACACAAACCACCAAAGACTTTCAACCCCTTGCCTTAGCAACCATTTTCTCACCATTTCTCTCACATAATCAAACATTCTGACTTTGTTTACGGCAGATCTGAATAGTTTAGCAGATGACAATCCGAACCATTGCCGCAAGTTTTGGAGCCACGAATGTCTTCTCCTCCCTGGACCCCTTCTGATGTCTATTTTCCCCTGAACGATCAACAGTATCCGATAGACCACAGTAAAGGTACTGATCATACTGTGCCTCCTAAACCTGAATAGGTAGCTACGGCATCCCATAGTTTGTGAGCATTTGCGTCACGTAATAACCCACCTTTTTTTAAGTGTCTTCAACCAATGTATACTTCCTGTTCTTACCTATGGTTCTCAAACTTGGTTTACAAAGAAAAACATGGAAAAAATAGCAAAGAGCCATAGAAAGGCGAATGCTGAACATCAGGATATCAGACAAGAAAAGCAATACTTGGATCGGTAACAAAATAAAAGTGACCGATGTATCAACGCAGATAGCAAAATTTCAGTGGAAGTTCGCTGGACATACCATAAGATAGAAAGACGATAGATGGAATAAGATGATTATATACTGGAGACCATATAGTTGCAAACGAAAAAGAGAAAGAGGAAGGTCAGATGACTTGAAGAAACAAAGAAGTGGATACAAACTGCCTACAATAGAGAGAGTGGAAGAAGGAAGAGGAGGCCTATGTCCAAAATTGGACAGCAAGGGCTGTATAGATAGAGATAGAATAATCCAGCTGCCTATACCCACAGTTCACTCAGCTTCGAAGGTTCGGGATTACTCGAAGTGACTTCATCCACTCACAGCCACATCACATGTCGTCTCCCACTCTTTCTGCCACTGGCCGATTTTCTCGGCCAGTCTTATCTCACTCACCTCTCGCTCTACAATTTTCCGCCCCTACGACTATGAATCGTGGCCCTTTCACCTGCCAGCACATGTAAGGGAACACAATCGGTGATCACCCACAGAGCGCTAGCTGACACAATTCTGTAGGCACATGCTATCCACAGTAGACTAGTTCTGTCGACGCGGACCTTGAATCTCTTAAAAATTGGTATTTTTACCGCCTCACTCTAGACTGAAGCCGCGTAGAGGATGACAGACTGCACAACACCGTTTTGGAGCGCTCTCCTTGTTTCTGATTTGGATCCACCGATATTGGGCATTATCCTGCAAAGCCCAGCCCTTGTATAAATAGCTCTCCTGGTCACCCCCTCAAATTTTTCCTTAACTCTTGGATAGAAGCGATACCTGGATACTAATGAAGATGTGAAGCTAAAATAAGATAAATAGAGCGAAAAATACGTAGTGTTTAAAAGGAGAATGTCTGACAAAAGACAACCAATAACAAATTAATGTAAATATACGAAAGAAGAATTATTAAACACTTAGGGTAGTACAAAAAAAATGGGGATGTACCATTAAGAAGATCTGAAATTGTTGAAGGTGGAAAAATTTATTACTAGACAGGAAGAATTGGAAGAAAACTATTGAAGCATTTGGCCCCTAAGGCTTGTTGAGCTTAAATAATCTTAAGCAAATCGAGTTGAGTGACCTACTTGTAGCAGCAGTAAGTTATACCAAAGATGCATTACTGTGCTGATGATGGCTCTGTAGAACTCTGATTAGGGATATTGGGACTTCTTTGGAACAGAGATTGAATCCGCGAGGTGATCCTCTCTCGGCTTGTTCACTTTATAGTCACAAAAGTCATTTACTTTTGAATTATATTCAGACTAATTTATTACTCCTTTAGGGGAACCCATTTTATTCCCACAATTGCATCGGGTAGCCAAGGCTATAATCTCTCAGAGCTCTCCAGCCCTTTGGCGAACTCTGGGATAACGCTTCGCAGGTGTCGCTTAGCTAATATATCGCTTTTCCAACTTAAACATTTCCTAAGCATGATGGTATTATTACGTCTTGTTACAGATGTAACTAGATCTGTAATTTTCTCAAGCAGCACATTAAAATTTGAGCTTTTTTTAGTTTTCCGCAAAATCTTAAAAATATTGCGCATTTTAAGAGTACCCGTTTAATAAATAATTACCAAAACATGAAATGGTGAAGGTTTACTACGGTTGAAGAAATAAATGCACCATTAGATTTTAAAGCTATATTTAAAATTCATCTCGAAAGCACTTCGAGGATTTGAAAAAGCACTTGCACAATTATATATCTAAATGTCAATTTCATCTTCCGAATTACAATTGATGAAAAAAAAATTTTTTTTGAGAAAAATGAGTCACATCATTTTTAACAAACTTCATATACATTACCTCAAATACATTAAAGTTATGATTAAAAAATTACTTACGTAAAGAGCTTATCCGTTTTGTTGTGTATTTCCAGATGTCGCTTGCCAGGAAAATGTGTAGTTACATATTTCACATACATATAGCTAAGATAGATGTAACTGGAAACGATAAGTTTTGCTTGTCGGCTAATATTTCCAAACCAGAAGCATGAGCAAGCATGGAAATTTGAATATATGAAAAAATATTTAACACATTATTTCCAATATCTTTGAAATAATCCTAATGATTAAAAAATAAAGCTATTAATGAACTAATCTTATAATTTTGAATTGTTTTAGATTTGCCTTCAACTTGGTCTACCAGATATAAACTATTAATATTTCTTAGATTTGGAGCAAAAGTATATACCCAAAATGAAGATATTACATTGTTCGAACATATTTTAAATCGTCTCCTTGAATTCAACCATGTTTATCCGTATAATCTAGTAGCATGTTTACAACTGCTGCTTAGAGCTGTAACAAGAATAAAAATTGATAAACCTAATGATATTTCACAGGAAAGTTATCAGTTATTACTGGAGAAGATGTACGAAAGGTACTTTGATTTAATTCAAGATGGTTTGATACCTCCAGAAAGATGTGGTATTAGTCCTCCCCAACTAAAGCATATTTGTAGGTAAGAGAGATTATACCACTTTGATTTTTGAAAAACTTTTTAATTTCTGAACTTTCGCCTTTCGGCAGAATTATTTTCTTAAGTGATCAATTTTTGGTGTGAGTTTACACTTTATAGTTGTCAAGTGAATAAATTGAGGAGGGGAGAACTGTTCGTCTTAGGTTGGTCATTTAGAATTATATCTGTATATTTTTTAATTTGTTAAGTATATCTCAAGTATTTTAAATTGGTCGTTAAAAGAATGATTATGGTCTAAAAACAAAAATGTTCACGTAGAATCTGTTTTTGTAATATTGAAAGCCCTTTTGTGTTCTGCTATCTGTTGTTAAAATTTCTGCCAGTTTGGCCGATGTAAGTTTTTGGACAGTTGCTGCGTTTAAGTGTATATACACCATTGTGTAAGTGCTATTTCTTTTGGTACTTGTTGTCCTTAATTTGTTATTTATCTGGTGGTGAAAACACTAATTTCAGGGCTTTCTTATATAGTTTTGATTTAAAATTTTATTCAGTGTTTGTTCGTTGTACCCATTCTTTACTGCTATTTGCTTAGTGATATTTAATCCTATCTCCAAGTTGTTTTTGACATGAAAATTTCTATTAATCTGTGTAAGGTGCTATGGTAGGCTGACAATTCATACTTGTATGTTACATGTATTAATAGAAACTCTAATGTCAAAAAACTGGCATAGTTGTGATGTTATAATAATAAGGATACTTTTTAGGTGTGTTATCAGAGACAGACTTTGGGAAAACTACCAACTTCCTGATGGAATACGAAGTTTACCCGTTCCCGAACAATTGTGGAGATATTTGGATCTACTGGAGGATTAATCATTGCTATTATTATAATTTGTTATATAGAAAAAAATATACATTTTTAAGTATTGTTAATTTTTAGATAAACTTCCTACCACCTATCCCAATATCGTTTTTGATCAGGTAATTTGCCAGTCCTTTAATGATGTGATTTGCATGCATTCCAAGATTTCTGATTTTATCACTCTTTTTAATTTTAAGAATCCAATTCTCATGAAAGAAAATAACTTTTGTTTGAATGCCATTGTACACTGGAATCTGTGCAAATGAAAAATAAGAACAACTTTCAAACACAAGTTGAATTAGTACAAACCATACAACATAAATTAGAACTTATTCTTATGCCAACCTGAAAAATCTGATCAAAACTCACTGCAAAACCGTACGGCATAACTAAAAAAAAAAAAATCAGAACCTAAATTAACACACACACACCTTAATTAAAAGGAGCCACCATCAAATACGCACCAACTACTTGCTCCTTTCCACCGACAATAAAACTTATTCTGCTTACAAATATTATTATCTGTTAGAGACCTTTCACACGGACGTTCAGTTCTGCAGGAGTGGTTTTTTACTCAATCCCGTAAAAACCACTGGTGTGTTCACACACAGTAGTTTGCATCCCGTTTTTTGCGGTAGAGCAATGGGCGGTATATTATATTTGCCAGATTAAAACAAAAATTCAGAGGTGATGGACGTGAACACGCTTGCGATGTTGTATTATTACCACCGCCGCCGGCAGTGTAAGATTTTGGGTCCACTCGATTCTGAAACAACGACCGAAATTGGGTATTTTTCGTAATCTCATGGGCGATTTGAGAAAGGATGAATCAAAGTTTTTTAATTACTTTAGGATGTCTCTGACCACGTTTGACAACCTTTTAAAAAAAGTGGAGAAACATTCAAAAAAACAGAATACAAATATGAGAAAAGCCTCACTCCTAAAGAAAAGCTTGCAATATGTTTAAGGTGAGAATCAAATACATCTATCATTATTAATATTTATTAAGTAAAGTTATAGAGTGTGTTGAGCCGGAAATAGAAATTTCCGGCTCAACTTTCTCAACATCTGTATTATCCTGTTCTTTTTCTTCATTAGTTACACTGTCGTATGTTTCTCCTGGTTCCATAATTTTTTTTTTAAAAAACAACAACTGGCTGTGATCACAGTATTTTTTTACATTCACTGAAGCAGATCCAGATTGCTTGGTCTTCTTAGTTGCAGTTAAACTTCTTGACCAGCTGTCTCTAATCTGATTCCATTTCTTAACGACATGTTTTGCTGAAAAGGAAAACAATGATACATTCAAAAATATTTGCAGGTACTTGGAATCTGGGTGTTCGTTTATGGATTTACATTATACGTATCGAGTGGTAGTTTCAACAATCAGTAATATTATTATAGACGTAACAAATGTCATATGGAACAACTTGTGTGAAGAGTATATAAAACTGCCAAATACAAAATTTGAATGGGAAGAAATTGCTGACGGATTCTTTACTAAAGCAAATTTCCCTCACTGTATTGGTGCAGTAGATGGGAAACACATAAGATTAAAGAAACCAAATAGCAGTGGTTCTATGTACTTTATTTACAAGGATTTTTTCCATTGTATTACTAGCAGTAGTGGATTTGAATTATAGATTCATCAATATTAGCGTAGGCTCATATGGCAAAGAATGTGATTCCTCTATATTCAAAGAATCGACTTTCTTGAAAAAGCTAAATGATGACAGTTTAGATTTGCCGGATGTTCGTCCTCTTTCTGAAGGTTTGGAATCAAGAGTACCATTTGTGATCATAGGGGATGAAGGATTCGGTTTACATTATAATTTGGTGAGATCCTACCGAGGAACTCATCTAGATAAAAATAAAAGAATATTTAATTATCGATTAACTAGAGCAGGACGTTGCGTAGAGTGTGCGTTCGGAATATTGGCAAACAAATAGCGAATATTTCATCACTTGCACTGTCCTCCATATCATCATCATCAATCAGCCCTGAGTTGTCCATTGTTGAACATAGGCCTCCTCTAGATTTTTTCCATCTGCTTCTGTTCTGCGCCTCCGCTATCCAATTGGTCACGATTCTTTTGAGGTCGTCGGTCCATCGCGTTGGGGGTCTTCCTCGGCTTCACTTGTCAGCCCGTGGTCTCCACTCAAGCAATTTTGTTGTCCAACTGTCGTCTTTCATTCTTGCAACATGTCCAGCCCATCTCCATTTTTGCCTTGTAATATGTTCGATAATGTCTTCCACTCCGGTTCGTCTACGAACTTCCTCGTTTCATATTCTATCACTTAAGCTTATTCCAAGCATTGATTCCAAGCATCTCCGAATGATTTCCAATCTCCGATAGGAGTGGAACTTGAAGAAGAAGAAGCATTAATGTCTCCATCTTTCGTTGTGTCCTTCTCAATTTTTCGGCTGATGTTATTGTGAGAGTTAAGGTTTCGGCTCCGTATGTGAGGACTGGTAGAACGCACTGGTTAAAAGCTTTTCTTTTTAAATGGATCGGTATATTTGTTTTAAATACGTCTCTTATTTTTCCGAATGTAGCCTAACCCAAACCTATTCTTATGAGAAGCTCGCATGTTTGGTTATCTCGCGTTAGCCTTATTTCGTGACCCAAATACACATATTTTTCCACAAGTTCTATGGGCAACTTTTCGATTTCTATTAGCTCATTGGGGACAAGGTTGTATGGAGTACAGGACCAACCTCGTCCTGTACTCCATAACTATATAATAAATAATGAAAGTTCATATGCTAACATGGAAAGCAACGAATCAACATCTTGGTTAAATATACGGAGCGATCTAAGTACGCGAGATGGACATTGTGCAAATACAATACGAAGAGAGTTCACTAAATATTTTATGTCTGAAGTGGGAGCTGTACCGTGGCAAGATGAGGCAATACAGAGCAAAATTAATACTAAATCAATAAGGATTTAAATTTAAGACTTTCCATAATTTTTTCTTTCTTCCTCTTCCATCCCCTCAAATTCTTCATTCAACATAATACAAACTTCGCGCCATGCGGCAGTTCGCAAATTTTTATCCTTATAGTTCTCTAAAGTTTTATCCCATGTTATAGATCTATTTTCTATAAGAGGAATAAGTACTTCTGGGTCTATTTTGGTTTGCGTGATCTCGCAGCATAATCACAAAACTGGCCTTGCGTAGACTGGTAAGCACTGATCATTGAGCGAATGACTGGGCACGGTCAACAGGCAGCTGTGTTCGAGGCGGGGGAATCTGTCTTCGCTCCTCGCGTCCAGTAAAAAACGGTATGCAGGAAGTGGTGAGAACATTTCCATTACACTATACGTATAATTAAACTGGATCGTTTTTTTACTGGACCCATTCCAGTGGCAAAACCGGATGTCAAATTTAAACTGATCGGTTTTTTGCTGGATACCGTAAACAGGATGCTCCTGTGATTGCAAGTATTAAGTACGTATACTACTCAACAAGATCCTGCAAAATACTGTACCTGCAAAAAACGGAATGTTGTCGTGTGAAAGGGCTCTTCCTACTTTATAAACAGAATCGTTATTTTTTATTCAGTAACGGGATAAGTCTAAAACAGAACAGTTCTTAACGTAACGCTTGCTTTAAATGTTGTTTTATTCTATTTCCTATCAATTCGTTATCCAAAATTATTTTCTAATGTACGAGGATACATTGATATTAAACTAGCCTTTGATAGATGGGCTACTTAATACCGAATTGGTTTAAACGTGTGACCACTTTGGAGACGCTTTTGATCAGCGATGATACAGCGCGATCCGAAGGATTTCGCCGATTGATCACCATTGATGAAACCTGGGTGCATTATTATACACCGGAAACCTAAAAACAGTCGAAACAGTGGTGCAAACGCGGCGAAGGGCCGTCGAAGAAGGCAAAGAGTGCACATTTGGCCGGAAAGTGATGGCGACCGTTTTGCCGGTTTGGAACGCAAAAAAGTGCTCTTTCATCAAGACAACGCACCGGCTTACCGATCGGCCGTCGCCATGGCAAAATTACACGAATTGGGCTATGAATTGGTTGAACACCCACCGTATTTCCCAGATCTTGCCGCCAGTGATTTTTTCCTGTTTCCAAACCTAAAGAAACGGCTCGGAGGACGCCGTTTCGCATCAAATGATGAAGTCGTCGCTGAAACTTCGGCCTATTTTGAGGAGCTCGAGCAAAAGTACTATTCACATGGGATAAAAAAACTGGAACATCGTCTTACTAAGTGTATCGAGCTAAAAGGGGACTATGTTGAGAAATAAATCGATTTACTTCCAAAAAACTTGTTTTTTTTATCAAAGCTAGTTTTATATCAATCCACCCTCGTATCTAGCTAGAATGAGAAAAAATAGTTAGTGTTGAAGACGCTTGTATTTCATTCATTACACATGAAAAATTATTTTAAAAGCAGCATTGCTGTTTCTTTTTAAAGCTAATTAAGTAACACTGAACCTGCCAAATTTAACTCTTTTTTTATTCCGTTTATCTCTCTCCAAGCCGCACCTGTTCCACAGAAGTGTGATTTCCTGGATATACAACAACTTCCTAATAATTAGAGTGTGTGTTTTTTTAGTATCCGCCGACCTGGAAACCGTATTTATGTTTATTTCATAAAATCGGTGTCAGAAGAGCTAGTGATGGGATAAAACAATATACAAAAGATGTTTTACTTCCTTTCCTTATATATGAATGCGTGTGTTTAGTAGAAAAGTGCATGAACGTCACCAAAAGAGCGTTTTTAAAAATAATAGCAAGATCATTAAAAGAAATTCACAATTACTTATTATTTTGTTCATATTATACGTAAAAATCATATTGGAAAAATAATAAACATTAAAAATAATTTTTAAGTTAACAAGAAACTAAAGACATATACGGCCAAAAGATAAATCATATAAGCTAATTAACTGATATTATATAATTGAGTAAATTATGCAAATACAAAAATTATATATTAACCAAACTCTCTTACAACCATCTACTTGCCTTCTGCAGTTTAATAGGACCATGATACAAAGAAATGAGAAGATATGATCTTGCGCATGAGGGCGGAG